ATTCAGAGATTTCTTTCAACTGGAATTGTGGTCGTTATATACAAGTCAATCAAAATGGTTCTATATCAAATTTTGTTAGTTATAAACTGTAAAAAGGCAACATTTTATTTGAAGTACATTTCTTAAATGCACACACCTTTAATCCCAGCAGTTGGGAGGCAGAGGCAGGCGGATCTCTGTGAGTTCAAGGACAGCCTGGTCTACATAGTGAGTTCCAGGACAGCTGGGGCTACAGGGAGACCCTGTCTCAAAAAGACAAAAAAAAAAAAAAAAAAAAAAAAAAAAACGAACAAAAAAACCAAAAAAACTTTATATTTTGGTTCTTTAAGACAGTTATCTGTCTCTGTAGCTCAGGTTTCCCAGAACTCACTCTGTAGCCCAATCTGGCCTTGAACTCGGGCTAGTCTTCTGCCTCAGCCTTCTGAGTACTGTGAGTGAAGAGAGCATCATGCCCAGCTTTTTTTTTTTTTGCCATTTATTTATAAGTATGTAACATTGGATGAAACATGATTCAGTACCAGTTTGCCTCTTGTTTTTCATCTTTATCATTGTAAAGACTTAGAAACTTAGCTGGAGGTTCTGTTATAGTAATTTCTGTTAATTCATTGAACGTTTTAGAAGTTATAGCAGTCTATCATCAAAATTGTTTATAATGCCGGGCATGGTGGTGTGTGCCTTTAATCCCAGCCCTTGGGAGGCAGAGCAGGTGGATCTCTGTAAGAATGAGGACAGGCTGGGACTAGGGAGACCCTGTCAAAAGAAAAATTTATATATATATATATATGATGTATTAGCTGGTATTTCCATTAACCCCTGTCTTCATTTTATTAAAAACAAAGACTTAGAAACTACATTGCTTACAAAAGGATTTGCTAGCCAGTCATTAAAGCCATAACTTTCCCACTGATGTCATGAATATTTTCAAGTGATTCCTTGTTGCTGTAGCATTTTTTTTGTTTTGTTTTTTACATCCTGGGCAAGGCACTTTGCTAAGTCTATATAGGGAAAACATAAGTTTCTGGTCAAAGAGAAGGGTATGTGCTAGGGAACTGTTGGCCTGATGGGCGATGCTCAGGCAGATTATTGTAGCATGTCCATCGGCTGCCAGGCCGTGAGAGATAACTGATGCTGCTGCCCAACACAAAATGGTGAACTTCAGACACTGTGAGGATTTCGTTTTGTTTTGTTTTTGCTATTTTTGTGTGTTACTCAGTTATATGGTTCTTGGGCACGAACAGTGTAGGTACAGACATCCCATCGCAACATGAAAAGATTGGATGCGTAAGTGGTTTTGTGAATTTAGAAACTGACTCCCTTATGTGTATTATTTCTGAGTTCAGACTATGTCTTACCGACTTCTCTGTTAACAAAGTCCAGCATAGTTCCTGGCTATAAGAGCAGCTCACTAAACATTTATTGTGTTCATAAATGTTTGCCTATAATTTATATTTGTGTTATTAAATTGCTGAGTTAATCTTCTCCAGATTTCACTCCTTCCTGGCTCCTTACCCTAAAACAAGTTGAACCAGTTTGAGAATCCCTTATGCAAAGAGACCAGGTTTCAGATTTTTCTTAATATTTTGGAGTTTTTACAGTAGGCTGTTTAGTTGAGCTTAATTACTTGAGACCAATTTCAAGTCCAAAATGGTCCAGGATGTAGAACTTTTTGAGTGTCAACATGATGCTCCTAATTCTGGAGATTCTGGAGCTTCAGATTTGGGGTTGTAGATGTTCAGTCAGTGGTTTAAAAGAAAAAAATTGAGGTTTGATTCTCCTTGCTGTGTTTAGTTGGGGAAATAGTCAAGAAGAGGTTTGGAAAATACTGGAAAAGACATTTTGTGTAGGTTTGAATGAAAATACATGTTTTGGAAGATTTGAGAACAACTGTTTAAGAAAATTCATCAGGTACATTTTGGGGGAGTTAAACTAATATTGTATTGGACTCATCATAAGTGCACAGCATTGTTTGGCATATTCTAAGTACATATGTTAACTTTTAATATTTTCTCATAGACTTTTGAAGGAACTGCACCTGTTGTCCCCATTAATTGAGACACAAAGAAGTCACAGTAAATGAAAAAGTAAAAAGCTAGGATTTGGGGCCAATGAGATGGCTCAGTGAGTAAGGGGCATGTGCTGGACAGCTTTAGTGTCAACTTGACACACCTGGGTTGAGGGAGCCTCAACTGAGGAATTTCCCCCATTGGACTGGCCTGTGGCCATGTCTGTGGGGTATTTTCTTGATTGTTGAGTGATGTGGGAGGGCCCAGCCCACTGTGGATAGTGCTACCCCTGGGCAGGTTGAGCAGGGGCCAGGGGAGCAAGCCAGTAAACAGAGTTCCTCCATGGCCCGTGCTCCAGCTCCTGCCTCCAGGTTCCTGCCCTGAGTTCCTTCCTTGGGCTCCCTGATGAACTGTGTCCTGGGAGATGTAAGCTGAATAAACCCTTTCCTCCCCAAGTTGGAAGTTGTCAGAGTATTTTGTTACAGCAATGAAGAAACAAACTAAAACAAGGCACTTGCTGCCAAGCCTGCTGACCAGAGTTTGATTCCAGAACCCACAGGATGGGAGGAGAGAACCAGCTGTCCTCTCACTTCCACATCTCCGCAATAATCAATAATAAATAATCAATAAACAATTTTTTTAAAGCTGGCATTTGGGTGCCAATCATTTGAGATATATAAGAACTAGGGCCTTGATTTCATTTTGCTCATGTCTCATTGGGGGATACTGTGAATCTCATATTTACTTGAACACTTTGTAAATGTAGATTTTTTTTTTCCTTTTTAAAGCTAGTTAGATCTCTGTAATATAAGCAGTAAAGGTTTATAATTGCTCTTATGTGAATAGTGTAGGGAGTGAGAACTCTGGTCCTCGTGGCTATTTGGGGATCCAGGCATCTTCCATCTATGGAATGCCCATCTGGTGGAGTCCTCCAGAGGTGTCTCTGCAGTTCTCGGGTTGACTGTGAGCCTGAAGTGGTTTACATCTCCTGCTTCCTTATCCAGAACTCTGCCCCAAAGCAAACACCCTCTAACTCAAGAGAGCCTAGGAAATTCTGTGCCTGTAGACCCAGGAGGAAAAAACAAAGGAGTTTGATAAGTAGCTAGTCTGTCAGCCTGTGCCACAGATAACAAAATACACGACCAAGAGGACTTTTACATTTCCCATACTTGGGAGTTGGTCTTCATAACTTCGTCAGCAGAATATCTCTTTCCAAATACTTGTGTCAAAAAGAACTTTGCATTTCTAGAAGTGCCACCTATTTGCAGAATCTGATGTTTGATCAAGAGCTGGATTTTTATACTAGCTATGCTTTTGGCTGTTGATGGAGTTTCCATGGTAGCTGCATCTCTTTGCAGCAGTGCCACAGACCACACCTAGACAAAGTTGTGCAGCCTTACGCTTTGGTATTTCTTTGTTTTGTTGTTGCTGAGCATTGTAAGGGTGAAGTATCATAGCTGCAGTGTGTTTAAGGGTGTGCTGGCCCTTTATTGTCAGCCAAGAACCAGTGGCTATAGGCAGTCACTCCTAGTCATGATCAGAAAGCTTGTCCATCCTTCTGATGATCTTTTAAAATAAAGGTCATCCATCTTTTAAAGCTTTACTTACCTGTGTTTACCTATTGTTTCATTGTGAAAACAATGAGTGCTCTCCAACCTGTTTGTGTAGAGAAGTTATAGTACTTTCTATATTTTATTGAATTTTTGTATGTTTCCTACACATCTTAATCATCCTTATACCCTCTTCTCCATCTGCACTTTCCCATAACCCCCCCACTGGATTTCATGCATTCTGCTATTTTTGTTAAAATCAAGTTAGTGTCCCTTGATGTCCCTCAGTACAAGTTACAGTACTTTTTATCTTTCATTAAAAGGAAAATTTTATTTTTCAAATAGAATTAATAGAATGAACACTCTTCCCCTGAAACATCCCATTGAATATACCACTGATCTAAAATTTTGAAAACTTTTCTTCATGCCATGTTTGGCAGCCCATGTGGTTATTTCACATCTGCTATCCACTCTTCACCTCACCCTTTTCCACACAAAAAAAAAATCAGCAAAGAATGAGTGAATCTTTGCAGCTGGCAGTGACTCATACGAGATACCTTAGCTAAAATCTCTTGTACCTTCCCCACGGGACTGCTGCCGCTAAACTTTCTGTCGTTTGAGAAACACCATTGCACACCTATGGTACTAGCTCTGTTCTTGTCTTTGTGGACAGGGGAAAATGGTTAAGGTTGTTCACGTGCTCTAAGGCAAAAACTTTAGAGACGAATTTACATTCCTTCTGTATAGAAAGCTTCCCACATTGGTGTAGAAGCTACTAAAGAAACAACTGTTTGGGCTGGAGAGATGGCTCAGTGGTTAAGAGCACTGGCTGCTCTGCAGAGGACCCGGGTTGGATTCCTGGCACCCACATGGTGGCTAACAACCATCAATAACTCCAGTTCCGGGAAAATTCGTTGTCCTCTACTAACGTCTGTGGGCATTGCATGACATGGGTGCACTTACACATATGCAAGCAAGACACTCATAAACATAAAATAAAAATAATAAAGAAAAATTAAAGAAAAAACAAGAAAAAAACAACTATAGTCAAGTTATCTTGGCCTTTGCCCTGGCTTCATTTCACGGGTATCTGGAAACTTCAAATAGTAATTTCGTTTTCTCTGAACTTTGTCATTCTAAAAGTACTAACAAATATTTTACTAGTATTAGTGGATTTTCATAGTGTTTTGTATGTTTTGTGCTTTTTATTTTTTAATACAATAATTTTAGAAATATTTTATATATACCCTTGATACATTTTTAATTGACCCCACTAAATTTACGTTATTCAATTACTTCATTAAAATTTTAAAATAATTTTGTAGGTCTAACGTGACTAGTCGTACATCCTTCATCACACATTTGAATGAAAAGGACTCTGAATTGCAAAAATTTGAATCAGGAATTGAAGACATATTTTAAAATAATTTAACTTGATTCTCTACAGATGGTCCCTCCTTAAAAGACACAGCAGGACCCAGCAGACAGATTTTACAAGGTATGACAAGCGGTCTGTGTGTTTCTCAACTTTAGGAAACTGGCTTCAGAGTTTTCAGTTGTCTGAAATTTTCCTTTAAGTAAAATATAGAACATGGTAGCTGTGTTTAAGGTGCTTTCCCTCCTAGTGAATTCACATGCACTCTATTATGTGTATTATGCATTTGCATTTTGTATATGTATTATGTATGTGTATTTTGTGACTTAGGTGCTTTCTCAGATTTAATAAGAGAAGTTAGAAATTCAGAAACCTGTGCAGCTTAAAGGTAAGTGCTAGGCCTCTAGCAATAGTAACTGTAGGATGGTGTGCTTGCTTTTGTGGGATTCTTACGTGGTTTTTCTAAGAATAACCTTCAATATATTCTATGTTGTAGGAAAATTTAGAGCTAAAACTGAAGTAGAGTAAGACCTCTGTCATATTTGACGGCATCGACTAATGACACCCAAACTGGTGCTTACTGTCATGTGAATGATGTCAGATAGAGAGAATTAGTCCATCTACGAACTCTGGTTCTTTCCTTCTGGGGATGCGAAACAGTCTTTGTTTCCACTTGACTTTACTGTCAAGGCTTCCAAATTCCCAGCTCCCTGTTTTTTCTTGTATTAACTCTTGACTTTGGTCTGATTTTCTCCATAAGCTTTAGATACAATCTCTACTGCACCTGTTTTTCTTTACTGTTCCGTGGTCTAATTCTTGCTTCTTATGTTTTCACTGAGAACCTACTTCACTTATAGAATAATTTATTTTCAGAGGGCATAGTCTGCCTTCTAGTCATGAATTTACCATTTACAAAACATACAGAGTTGCTTTAAAACAGTGTTTGCTGAAATTACTTGAAATCACACATTTTTGAGGCAGCTATATCAACTGCTGCAAGTTAGCTTTGATAATAAGAATTTATTTTTAGTTTTGATAAATCATCACAAATGGGAGGAAAAGAAGATTGATTATTACCTTTTGTATAAGCTATTATGAAAATAAGTTTATATTTCTGAATATCCATCAGTTTTGGTGTTCCAAAGAGGCCAGTCAGAAGCTGAAGGGTAGATATCACTGCCTGGTATAGAATCCTTCCGCAAACTACTCTGTGGACACTCTCATGTGAATACTAGATTACAGCATCCTAACTTTAACTTTACATGTACTGTTTTAGAAGAGTTAGATTATCAATATGTTACAAATCTCCTATCGTTTCAATTTCATGTTAAGTTAAATGTTATATATATTCCTTTAGTGAGTTTTTAAGTTACTATAAAGTAAGAAAGTAATAGGTACTAATAAAACTTACTTCGGGGTAGCAGATTACATGTAGGTAGGGACTTTCTAACATAAATAAATCAAGAACAAATGATTTCATGTGCCAAACTTTTCGTTTCTGAATCTACAAAGCACTGATTAAAGAATGTAAAAGTTTAAAATCATGTATCACATTTAAGAGTTTGAACTTAAGGACTTATAATCCATTTTGATAAATATTTTTCAGTTTTTTTTAAAAGCTAAAGGTAGCTCTGTTACTGATTTATTTCATTCTTTGGTATTTAAAGCACCATAGGGAAGTTGAATATTTATAAGTATTCTCTGGTTAAATTTTTGGAGTTCAATCACCAGGCCTCTCATGGTGGGAGGAGAGAGACAACTCCCACAAGTTGTCCTCTGACCTCCATATTATGCACACACAATAAGTAAATAGATGTAAAAATATTTTTAAAAAGAAAAACTCTGAGAACAGCAACTAGCTTTCTAAAGAATGGTTCTACTAGGATGTTGAAACTCTACATAGATGGAAGAGCATCCAGTGGAGGCTGGGAAACAGTTGGTATAATACCTGTTGTGAAATTACAGTCACAGATTAAGTGTAATTTCCTAGGAAACACTGAGATTAAATTGCTAGTTTTCTTTAGTTTAAATGTTTTTGTACACTTAAGTTTGCCTTCTGTTGTTCAGAGAATAACAAAATAAACAATTTCTAAATTGGTCACATGCTTTTTGGCATTTTTAGCTACATTCACATCGAGTAGTTGATAGTACTGAAGACTTTTTTATATGAAATTTTTTATATAAAATTACTTTCTTGTGTGAGGACTAAAGGCATGCACTACCATGCCCACTTTATCAGTGTTAATGGTGTATGTGAATTCTTGAATAGTTAGCCAGTATCCTGTCAACTTAGTATTTAATATTAAAAGTTCAACATGTATTTTATATTCATTTAAAAATATTTAGATACCTGCTTTTCTTCACAGTGACTTTGAGTATAGTAACTAATTTAGTGTGGGGTCGCTCCCTCTCCTCGTGGATCGTTGGCCACTGGTCCACGAGGACAAAGGGAGCAGGAGCGACGAGCAGGGTCAGGACTGCCAGTGATCACTGACTGAAGAAAGCCCTTCTGGGGAGGTAGGTTCAATGATGCAAACAGCTCCAGACTCAGTTAAACAGCTCCATTTATTCAGTGGGAGAACTAGGGAAAATATAGTGTGGAGGCAGTAGCCAAAGCCTCAGCTGATAGGTGATCATAGTATGCTTTATTTACATGTGGCAGTAGGCTCCTATCATCGGATTACCAGGCAATGCCTAATTATCATATAGAAAAAACCTGGGGGTAGTTTTTACTCCAGGTAACTATGCCAAAGGTCATGTTCCAAATGAGGGGAGGCATCTGTGCTTGGTGGCACTTTCCAGGTTAGTCAGGAAGAGAGCAGGAGGCCCCCTGCTGAGAAGGGGAGTCCTTCCATTTGGCGCCAAGCCCCTTAGAGCTATCCGGACATGGAAGACTACAACCCTAACAGCAGGGTTCCCCAACAATTTAGGTTACAAAACCTTTTGGATAGGTCAGGTGTAGTGGCTCATGCCTTTAAGCCCAGCATTCGAGAGGCAGAAGCAGGCAGATATCTGAGTTTGAGGATAGCTTGGTCTACATAGAGAGTTCCAGGCTAATCAGAGCTACATAGTGAGACGGTATCTCAGAAACAATAAAAAAAAAACCCTCACGTACACACATAAAAAACAACCTCTAAATAGAGTTAGGGTCTGTATGAAATTCTAAACCTAAAGGCAATATTTTAACCACCAGCAGAGGGCTCTGTGTGTACATGTATTCAGTATGAAAAAAATTTTTTGACCAATTTTTTTTTTTCTTTACCTTAATGTCCTTTTCTTCCTTGAACAAGTTAACTTTTACTCTCTTTCCAATCAAGGATGAATGTTCACAATTTTTTAAGATTAACTTTTCTCTACTTCATTTATATGATTCTAATAAAAGCTGATATAATTTACCAAGTAGATGCGTCCACGTATTGATATAAAAAAGGTATTTCTCAAAGGAAGGTATCTCCTGTTGGCATTGTTTCTTGTTATGTGGCTTTTAGCTATACACATGGACTCTTAAAGAATTATATTGATCCCTTTAATCTTTGGTTATACTTTCCTTTTGGGTGCTCAATACCATACAGTTGGCCCAGATAAACCAATTTATTTTTACTCTTAAAGGTTGTTTGAGGATCTGTTCCTCAGGGGTGTCACATGGGCTTGGGAGGAGCCCCTGACTCCTTTCTTTTACTAGTTCCATCTATGTAAAGATAAGTCAAAGGTCCTTCTCAATCATGGCTGGCTTCACTTGGAAGCACGGGGGAAATGTTTCCTCTGTGTTGACCCTTCTCTTTGTAGACTGGACACTGGTTCAAGTCCATTTGGTGGGTTCTCCATGGCCTCCTTGATCAAGAGGACAGGTGACACACCACAGTTACAGGACATTTTGAGAGATGCTCATAGTCCCTTGGAGCTTAGTCGACCTAGGAGGGCAGGGAGCAAAAACTGTCCTTTGTGTCCCTCTGACCAAATTAGTATAGGCCTCAAAGTATGGCTGTTAGACATCCAAGAAGGTTAGTTCTACCAGTCTGGTACTTTTAATTACCATGTGATATGTAGATAAAGCTTGGGCAAAAACCAAATGTTCTCAGATAAACCTTGGCTAGACATGTATTATAGTCCTTGAATTAGTTGTAAGAGACTCCCAGACAGCAACCCAAGATAGAACTGGGAAAATGAAGAGCAGACCCCAGTCTTACCTAAATGAATTGTGGGAACTGAATGCTGCTAGATGAAGAAGAGCTGATCTTCCTAAAACAAGGAAATCTAGATAGGCTGACTAGATTTAGCAGATGGACAAGCACTGGAGAACAGCTGGGGGCGCCAACAACACAGTGGACAGTAACAGGGATTACAGAGTATAGGGGCTCCAGCTCGGGGGCAGGGGGCGGGCTATGGGAGAGTGCCATTTGGGATGTGGGTATATAGATGAATAAGATTGTTTGGGATGTTCTGTATGAAATACACACAAAAAATCAACAAATAAAACATATAAGCTGTATTTGAGGAAGAAGCATAAAAATTTGCTTCATGTTAATTAGCAGAGGTGAGACACATTACCATTGAACTCTACCTGATGATTTTATATCCATGCTCAGGTGCCAAGGAGCTCAGAAAGTAACTGACTATGACTAGTAATAATCAGATACATAGAGATTAGTGATGCATGTGCAAACATCTAAGTGTTAGTAACCTCAAAAATGAGTTTTTCTCTATGAAACAGTATATTTTAAAATGAAATGGAACTCTTTTTTAAAGGTTAAAACCTCATTCAATTTTATGTCTTATGGGAGTTTATAAGTGAGTTCAATATTGTATAACTGTATTAATTCAACCGTGAACCTAAAAATTTACAGCCAATTTTGAAGGAGATGCATCTTACCTCTGGAAATTGTTATTGAATATGTCAATGCTGTTGTAATGAAATGCTTCTAATTAAGTGTAAAGATGGCTCAGTAGTTAAGAGCAATAGGCGCTCTTGCAGAAGACATTAATATTCTATTAACAGTTACTGCACAGTCAGTACTCTTGCTTACTGATTTTTTTCAAATTGATACTTAAGTTTTGTGTATAAAATTTTAAGTATAGTCCCAAGAAATTTTAAAAAATGATTTTTTTGTGCCTTCTCTCTTAGGTGTATTTCTACACATTCTAGCAGACACACTTGGAAGTGTTGGTGTGATTGCCTCTGCCGTCATGATGCAGAATTTTGGGTTGATGATAGCAGATCCTATCTGCTCCATCCTTATAGCCATTCTTATAGTTGTGAGGTAAGTGATGTCCTATGTTACTTCCCGCTGTTAAAATGAGAGTGAGACAATACAAATACTCCTTGAACTAGAGATCTGCAATACAAATTATTATGTTGCTTTTCATTTGGTTTCTAAAAAATTCCTGTGCATATTTTCTTTCTAATATTTCTTTTTAGTTTCTGGCTATCAAGCCTCTGATAATAATTCAGATCTTAAATCTAACACTGTATCTGTAGAATAAAATATTGGAAATGTAAACTTCATTAACTAGTTAGGGTATTATAGTTTATATATAAATCTTACACTGTCAGATTTGAGTCAGTATTTCCTCTGCTAGAACTATTTTGAATTATAAAGTCATTATTATTGTAGAAGTCTTGTAAAAGTATACATTCAACTTTCAGTGTGTCTCTCTATCTAGGTCACAGAATTCTTAAGAAGCAGTTGTCCTGACTCTCTCTTTCTTTTACCTATTGTAGTGCCAGTGCATATGTGAAGAGAGCTTAGTACGCACACCTGTGTCTGTTCTTACCTGAAGTATAGTGTGGAGTTGTTATCATCTAGGGTTCTCTTGTCCTAAATCACACTGTATGTTTTGCATAATTTTTATTAGAAAGATAGAAATATGTTATTTTATCTTACAGCATTTAATTAGTTAAGAATTTATATAACATGTTGCTGTTGGAATGTTGTCATTTTTTTCCATTTGACTTTTTCTCACTTTTTCAACGAGGGGCTGGAGAGATGGCTCATTGGTTAAGCTCACCTACTGCTCCACTAGAGGACCCACATTCAGTTCGTAGAATCACATAGCAGCTAACAACCATCCTTAATTCTAGTTCTAGGAGATCTAACACCCTCTTTTGACCTCTGTGGGCACTACTACCTGTAGGCAAAACATTCAAACACATAAAATTTAAAAAAAAAAACTTTAATGAGTACAAAGACTTACTAGGGCTGGAGAGATGGCACAGCACTGGATACTCTTGCAAAGGACCCGGGTTCTATTCCTACCACTCACATGGCAGCTAACAAATGTCCGAAACTTCAGTTCCAGGGGCTCCAACACCCTCTTCTGACTTCCGAAGGCATTGCACAACATGGGTGCACTTACATACATGCAAGCAATACACTCATACACTCATACACATAAAATAATAATAAGTAAACAAAGATATAGAAGTGAGACAGTAATGACTGTTTATAACTTGTAGTTGAACAGACTTAATAGATTGTAACAAAATTACAATGTTAAAATTAGACATAGATGGATTCTTTTCAGTTTCTGCCTTAAAATTGGATCTATATTTTATTTTATTTTTAAAAATATTTTATTATTTTATTTTTATTTTATGTGTATGTGTGTATTGCCTGCATGTAGGTAAGTGCATCTGTGTCACGCAATGCTGGCAGTGGACAGAAGAAGCTGTTGGATCCCCTGGAACTGGAGTGATGGACAGTTGTTAGCTGCCATGTGGGTGCTGGGATTCGAACCCATGTCTTCTGGAAGAACAGCCAGTGTTTTTAACCACTGAGCCATCTCTCCAGCCCAGGATCTGTATTTTAAACATGCAAACCACAGATTTCTGAGCATTGTTCATAGAACAACCCTGGGTGAGTTGATGTGATTGTCAGATTATTCTTTGTATTATTTATACCAGGAAGCAAGTACTATATATATAAAAGTCATTTGGTGGCTGGAGAGATGATGGCTCAGTAGTTAAGAGCACTAGCTGCAGAGGACCTTGGTTTAGTTCCCAGCACCCACATGGCACTTAACAGCTGTCCTTAACTCCAGTTCCAGGGGATCTAACATCCTTTTCTGACCTCTGTAGAGATTGCACATGTGGTGCACTTACATACATGCAGGCAAAACACACACACCCATTAAAGCTCAGAAATCCTTTTCTTCATCTTTGGAAATCTTACCACGCTTCCTTGAAAGTTCAGCTTAGATGTTGGCATATTCTGTGAAATGAACTGACACATCACTCTCACTATGGTGCTTTCAATGTTCATTTTATTTTGTTAGTGTTGTAATTGTTAGCTACTTTAATAGTTTTTAAGGGTAGGATCTTAATAATCCCTTTTCTTTGTCTCAAGTTATTGCCACCTTTATTCCAGCTGCTACTACGGTTTGCTTAGAAAACTATGACAGCCTCCTCATTGACCTCTCTCTATCTTCTAAATCTTTTGTACAGGCTAGAATGTCCTTTTAATGAGGATTTTGTGACATACTAGAACCATCTTGATTGAAGTCCTTCTGTGACTCTTACTCTCAGAATTACATCCATGATATTCTTTAATCCTCGTCTCGCCCCTGCTCCACTTCACACTTTTCTCTCCAGAAACAGTCATTTATTTCATTTCCTAAATATGTTATGAGTTCTCTGGATTCCCTCTTGTGTTTAAGGTCAAGCCTTTTGCTACCTCCTACAGATGTTATGTACCACAACATGGCATACTTTGCATATAATTGAATCTAAACCAGTACCCCTTAGGAAGCATTACCCAATCCTATTTTCATGCTGCGTGAGGTCCATCCCTATAGCACTGACTAGCACAGTGCCCTTTCATGGCATTGACCTGCTGTATCCACAGAGTCTGTTTTATTGTGTCTCTGAAGCTCTGTAAAGGCAAGTGAGTTTTCTGTCATTTTAAAGTGACCGTATGATTCTATCTGGTCAAAAAAATGTTATACTTTAGATTTAAATTTGAATTGTTTTCAACCCTAAAGAATTAGATTTTCTAACTAAAGAATTAAATTTTCTAACTCCAGTTGGAAGGTCTTTCCTAGTTCTGTTCTCATTCATTTATTCTCCAAACAAAAATAAAAACAAATAAATGCAAAAATACATTCAACAGGCTTACTTTACTGAAATATATAACACATTTTAAAAATCTGTACCAATCATCTTGAGCAGGTATCTTGTTAAATCTCCTTGTTAGCCAGGCAGTGACAGACAAGATCTTGAGATTCCTACTGTTTTGATCTTACATGATCACAGAGGAGAGAGATAATTAAATTAATAGATTAAACCATTGCAATAATCAAAAATTATTTGTGCTGTGCAGGGTTAAGGTAGGACTTTGTGGTGGTGACTAGGTTGTCAGTTGAAACAGATTAGAGAGGTCTCTTTACACTGGGATCTAAATGTCACAGAGCTTTCCAGCCTAGGAGCCAGTTGATGTAAAAGCCAAGTAGTAAAGACAACTGAACTAAAGGAGTCTGGTCGGAATGGTCAGAGCAGAGGGAAGAAGAGGAGAGGCTGTTTGAGAAGGGCCTGGGAAGTATTAGGTAACATCCAAGGCAAGGCCTGAATGGTGAAGGAGAGGGCCATGGGAGAAAGAACATTCCTGGTAGAATTTCCATTATGAACACTGCAGCAGGAGCATACCTAACGTGCTTGAGGAGCAGTAGGGGCCGTGGAGGGAGTACAGTGAATAGAGCAGAGAGTGCTGCATGTGGTATAGAGCTCAAGGCACAGGTCCAGGTGTGGGTGTAAATTTGGGTGTCATCACCTTCTATGTAATATTTAAAGCCATGAGATTGGGCACATTTGCCCAGAGAATGAGCAGAGAAGGAAGCCTGGGGGACTGGGCCCTGGGAAGGTGAGGTCCACGAGGCAGTGTCAGTGAAGAGTGCAGTGCAGTGCAGCAAAGCGGGCGGGGGAAGCAGGAGTGCACACCGCTCTACAGGCCCCTTAAAGAATGTTTCAGACCGGAAGGAATAATCAACCTGTTAAATGCTCCTGGGAACAATCCGTCACTCAGACACTCAGAAGAGTAGTGAGAAAGAAAGCCTGATCAGAGAGCTTCAAGAGAACGGGAGAGGAGGAAATGGAAATAGCTACAGTCAGCTCCCTTTCAAAGCCTGTCGCTGTAGAGGGGCGGGTGTGAGTGCCTGGCAGCACCGGGGACCCACTGAGGTTTGTGGTCATGAATTTAAAGTGAAAACAACCAGCAAAGTTGTAAGTTTTTCTCCAGTCTTGTTTAGCTGCTTAAAGTTATGGAATGCATAAAACAGTGGATTTAATAGGTTTAGGGCTGTCAGATGGGTGTTGTGATGACAAGGGGCAGGATAGGGATTATAATGGTGGGAAATTAAGATTTAAAGATAATGAAACAGGCTTTTTCAGCAGTGGTAGGATCAGTGAATTAAAAGTTCTTTGGGGGGGAAAGTGCTACTGTGGAGATATTAAGGGAAGGGATCCAGAAATAAAGCTTTCATATTGTGACATGCTTAAAATTGAGATCTAAGGTCTAAGTTCATAGGAGTGGAGGAGAAGATCATACAGAGGCCAAAGGATGAATTATCCATGTAGGTATTTAAACCAGGAGTAATGAAAGGGGTGGAGGGGAAAGAAAAAGCACATTGCTAAACTAGCTCCACTGATGGAGAATCATCAAGACTTGCACCACTGGTATTCAAGGGGATCAGCCATCAAAAAATTTGATGGGTTTGACCCTCAAGCAAATGGTGGTGGGGTGGGAGGAAGTAGAATGAACAGAGATCTAAAAGTAGTAATAATAAGCAAGGAGGCTGTCCCTCTCACTCCACAAGCCTACCTAAGAAATCCTAAACTGCTAAAATAACCACTTCAGTGTTGTCTTGCTCCAAAGCCAATTGTTACTGCTTTGATGAGAGCCACGCCCAGCAATCAGAACATGGGATAGAAGTTCAACAGTGTTTAATAAACATGTGTTAACATCATGGTAAAGAAATGAATACTTATAAGGAAGTCGTCTGTTAACATGTACTTTTGTGATTATGTGATGGAGTACATGGAAGAAGGCGTGTAGGAAAGGCATTTCCTAAGAGTACTGTGTGGAGAACCATGCCCTCAGTTGATAGCCAGTTTTCAGGGACAATTTTCTCTCTATTATGGGAAAAGGCAGAGGATTTAATGAAAATTATGTGTTTAAAATTATGGTTTTTGTGGCTGTGGCCGTGGCTCATCAGTTGGTAGAGTGCTTGTCTAGCATACACAGGCCCTGGGCTTACTTCCCAGTACGAC